TTTTCTTTTGCTGTCCGTAGGTGATCAGACAGATGAACCTAGAGCCGATCCCAGAGGGCATTGAGGAGGAGATGTACGATGGCGTGGCTGTCTCTTTAATCTGTTGATTATGCTTTATTTAATTAACTTTAATGCTTATTACGTTTTCGGGCAAGATCCCAAGTTGTTTGACTTTAAAAAGGCTTCCGCATTATTTTAATTTACTCCGATGAATTTTTATATGTATTGATAGAACGTTTGTTTAAAATTGTTTTGAAAATGTCGCAAATTCGGATACCAATTCAGTGGCACACCGGTCCGCTGTCTCACGGGTTTGGGTCATGCGGGTTGGGGTGTTACATTTTGGTATCGGAGCATTTGGTTTTAAAATCGGTCTTTGGACCCTTTCAAAATAAAATACAATGAATAATTCAGCCGCATCTGCATCTCACGTAACTCCTCTGCCCCAGGAAGGTAATAAGTATTTATAGCTTTATCTGTTATATGTTAAGATCTGACGTGGGAATTTCCTTATTATTTTAGAATGAGTCAAGAATCGACCCATGGTCAGTACGTTCCGGAGCCGGAGCACGTGAGCGTGCACACGGTGAACACCGAGGGTTCGAGTTTCACGCCTCCGGGTGACGGAGGGCAACGATAGAATCAACCTGCGCCAGCGAGACAGCCACCAGCTGTACCACCGCCAGTCGTACCACCTCCAGTGATGCCACCGTTGCTGATGCCGCCGGTGGCCTACGAGCAGATCTTTCCGGCCATGATGGCCCATTATATGCAGCACATGGCGCAGCTTATGCCCATGTTCCAGCCACCGCCACCACCACAGCCGCAGCCGCGCATCGTTACCTTCAAGATGTTGAAGGATAATGGAGCGGAAGAGTTTCGAGGAGAGAAGATGGGGGAGCCCCAGATTGCATTGGATTGGCTTGAGCAGATGGACCGGGTACTCAAGAATTTGAGAGTCCCAGATGCTGATCGCTCGGAGTTGGCGTCACAGATGTTCCGGAAGGGAGCATATGATTGGTGGAAGCGCATTGACCAGGATCCACACACGCCCAAGCCGTGGACCTGGGATCGCTTCGATCGAGCCTTCACGAAGGAGTACGTCCCCACCCGGTACCGCGAGGAGAGGCGCGATGAATTCGTTGCGCTTAAGCAGGAGGGGATGTCACTGCCTGAACTGAGACAGAGGTTCGACTACCTGTCCCAGTATGCGATGAGTCTGGTCTCCACTCCGGAGGATCGTTTGAATGAGTTCGTCAAGAAGCTACGGCCGGACTTGAGGCCGTACGCTGCGCTGATCACGACGACAGATTTTAATGCGGCGTATGATTTGATTGTGAAGACGGAAAAGAGCTTGGACGATTTGCAGGCAACCAAGAAGGAGGATCGAGCGACGAAAGACCCGCGACTCGCGGCCAGCACTGGGCCGAGCGGGAAGAGTTTTGGATTCGGGGGAAAGAGGTACGAGAAGGGTTCTTCGAGTGCGCCGCCGCCTAAGAGGAGTAAGTCGAGGCCGTCTCCGTCGGCCGCCAATAGCAACTCGACGAGAACGAGGAGCCACCCGCAGTGTGTACAGTGTGGTAGGCATCACCCGGGCGAGTGTTGGCTCGCCCAAGGCTTATGTTTGGGTTGTGGTCAGCCAGGGTATTTCAGGAGGCATTGCCCGACAAACCCTAGCAGCGAGCCTGTTTTACCTAGAGCTCCGGATCAGCCTGCCGGATCACATCCAACACGGAGTCAGCAGTCTACGGCCGCAAATAATCAACAGAGAGCACGTCCGCAGCAGCCAGGCCGGGCACCAGCGCGTACCTACGCCATGCATGGGCGCACAGATCCTAGTCCTGATGTTATCTTGGGTACGTTCATACTATTTGATTCGGTTATGCATGCCTTGATCGATCCGGGTTCTACGCTCTCCTATATCTGTGTTGGCATGCCTGCTAATTCTGCGATTGTGAGGAGTGACCTTGAGATACCTACCGTTGTATCGAATCCGCTAGGACATAGCATGCGTCTTCATCACATCTATCATAGGTGTCCGTTGTCCGTGCAAGGGAAGCAATTCCCTGCAGATTTGATAGAGCTACCAAACAAGGAGTTTGACATTATCCTTGGTATGGATTGGCTCACAGAGCATAGAGCAGTGGTCGACTGCAGTTGTCGGACCGTACGGCTGAGAGCCGAGGACGGTAGTGACGTATCACTCTCCGGGGAGGTGTTCCCCAAGACTCCCGAGTTCATATCGTCCTTGAGCGCGAGGCGCTTGATTCGCAAGAAGTGCGAGATGTTCCTGTGTCACGTTCAGGATATGCGAAAAGAATCGCCACGTCAGCCGGACATTCGTACGGTTTGCGACTTCCCCGATGTCTTTCCCAAAGACCTACCTGCTTTGCCTCCGCCGAGAGAGGTAGAGTTCTCGATCAATCTCATTCCGGGTACGGAACCCATATCTGCTACACCGTATCGTATAGCACCTGCCGAGATGAAGGAGTTGAAGGCTCAGTTGCAAGAGCTACTAGAAAAGGGATTCATCCGACCTAGCGTTTCCCCATGGGGAGCACCGGTGTTATTTGTTCGGAAGAAAGATGGATCCATGAGACTTTGCATCGACTACAGGCAGTTGAACAAAGCCACAGTGAAGAATCGTTATCTGTTGCCTCGCATCGACGACCTGTTCGACCAGCTCAGAGGGGCTACAGTATTCTCGAAGATCGATCTGCGTTCTGGATACCATCAGATTTCCGTTAAGAGAGAAGACATTCCGAAGACTGCTTTTAGAACACGCTATGGGCATTATGAGTTCTCAGTCATGCCTTTCGGATTGACTAATGCCCCGGCAGTGTTCATGGAGCTTATGAACAGTGTGTTCCGACCATACTTGGACCAGTTCGTAGTAGTGTTCATCGATGACATCTTGGTTTATTCACGGACTCAGGAGGAGCATGCTAGACATTTGCAATTGGTTTTGAGTGTGTTGAGAGA